ATATATATATATATATATATATATATATATACATGTACGCATTCACATTCATAAATAAATATATAAATACATGCTTACATATGTATATATATAATGATAATAATAAGAAACCCCAACAGTACTACGATAATAATAGTGATACGGTGACAGAATAATTAATAATAGTAATGGTAATAGTCATAGTCCTAGTAATTAGTAGTAATAATAGCGATAGCCACAGTAATGCTATTTGTCATTAGTAATAGTAATAGTAATAGCAACAGTAATAGCAATAGTAATTGTAATTGTAAATCCTAATAGTAGTAGTAATTAGTAATAATATCAGTAATAGTAATAGTAATAGTAATTGTAATTAGTAATAGTAATAGTAATTGGTAATAGTATTAGCCATAGTAATAGTAATAGCAACAGTAATAGCAATAGTATTAGTAACTGAATTGTAATTAGTAATAGTAATAGTCATTAGTAATAATATTAGTAATAGTAATAGTAATAGTAATGCCAATAGTATTAGTAATAGTAATAGTAATTAGTAATAGTAATAGTAATTAGTAATAGTAATAGTAATAGTAACAGTAATAGTAATGGTAATTTAATTAGTAATAGTAATAGTAATTAGTAATAGCAATAGTAATAGTAATAGTAATTAGTAATAGCAATAGTAATAGTAATAGTAATTAGTAATAGTATTAGCCATAGTAATAGTAATAGCAATAGAAATAGTAATAGTATTAGTAACAGTAATTGTAATTAGTAATAGTAATTGTAATTAGTAATAGTAATAGTAATAGTATTAGTAATAGTAATAGTAACAGCAATACTATTAGTAATATTAATAGTACTTTAATTAGTAACAGTAATAGTAATTAGTAATAGTAATAGTATTAGTAATAGTAATAGTAATTAGTAATAGTAATTAGTAATAGTAATTAGTAATAGTAATTGTAATTAGTAATAGTAATATTAATTAGTAATAGTATTAGTAATAGTAACAGTATTAGTAATAGTAATTGTAATAGTAATAGTATTAGTAATAGTAATTGTAATTAGTAATAGTAATAGTAATAGTAATTAGTATTAGTAATAGTAATAGTCATCGCAATGGTAATAGTAATAGTAATTGTAATTAGTAATAGTAATAGTAATTAGTAATAGTAATTAGTAATAGCAATAGTAATAGTAATAGTAATAGTAATTAGTAAAAGTAATAGTAATTAGTAATAGTATTAGTAATAGTAATAGTAATAGCAATAGTAATAGTAATTGTAATTGTAATTAGTAATAGTAATAGTAATTAGTAATAGTATTAGCAATAGCAATAGTAATAGTATTAGTAATAGTAATAGTAATAGTAATAGTAATAGTAATAGTAATAGTAATAGTAATTAGTAATAGTAATAGTGATTAGTAATAGTAATAGTATTAGTAATAGCAATAATAATAGCAATGGTAACAGTAATAGTAATAGTAATAGTAATAGTAATAGTAATAGTAATAGTAATAGTAATAGTAATTAGTAATAGTAATAGTGATTAGTAATAGTAATAGTATTAGTAATAGCAATAATAATAAAAATAGTAATAGTAATAGTAATAGTAATAGTAATAGTAATAGTAATGGCAATTAGTAATAGTAATAGTAATAATAATAGTAATTAGTAATAGTAATAGCAATAGCAATAGTAATAGGAAGAGTAATAGTAATAGTAGTAGCAATAGTAAGAGTAATTGTAATAGTAATAATAGTAATAATTAATAATAAGAATAATAAGAATAAGAATAAGAATAAAGGATAATAATAATAATAGGAATAATAAGAATATTAATAATAAGAAGAATAAGAACAAGAATCAGAATCAGAATCAGAATAATAATAATAATAGTAATAATAGTAATAATAATAATAATAAAAGTAATAATAATAATAGTACGGTGATAATAGAATAATGTTAACAACACGATAACAGCGACACACTAATAGTAAAACAAATAAAACATGCATAGACAAGAAAAAATATTAAGGGCAGCAGAGGAGGAAGAAGCAAGCAAGAAAACAAACAAACAAACAATAAACAAAATAAAAAGCTGCTTTATGATAAAACACGCAGCGCCTGGGGGTTTACAATCTTAGGGCTTACGGTTTACAAACTAGGGTTTAGGGTTTATAATCGTAGGGTTTAGGATTTACAAACTTAGGGTTTAGGGTTTATAATCGTAGGGTTTAGGGTTTACAAACTTAGGGTTTAGGGTTTACAATCTTAGGGCTTACGGTTTACAAACTTAGGGTTTAGGGTTTATAATCGTAGGGTTTAGGATTTACAAACTTAGGGTTTAGGGTTTA